TCTAGGTTTAGAACTCCCAATCTCTAATGATTCTTGTACTATATATTTCATGCATTTTAGTCTGAGTTAGGAATTTAAGTACATTAATTTTTAAATTAAAAATGCTAACTTTCTTCTTTTATGTTTTATTAGGTTAATTTTCAGTTTTAATTTGTTGCTTCTAGGTTTTGATTTCTATCTCTTCCCTTTTTAATTGCAATTTTATTTCATGCTTTTAATTTTGCCAAGTTTAATTTTAGGATTTGTATCTTTCCATTTTTAGTAACCTACCATTTTAGATAACTGCTAATTTTAGTAACTTTCCATTTAGGGCTTCCTTTCCATAATTTGTAGTTAATTTAGGTTTAATTATTTGGTAATTTTGTTAGATAAATTAGATCAATTGAAAATTTTTTATAGGATTAGATATACCTAAAATGTCAAAGTTGGTACCTACCTCTAGGTTTAGAACTCCCAATCTCTAGTGAGTTCTTGTACTATATATTTCATGCATTTTAGTCCGAGTTAGGAATTTAAGTACATTAATTTTCAAATTAAAAATGCTAACTTTCTTCTTTTATGTTTTATTAGGTTAATTTTCAGTTTTAATTTGTTGCTTCTAGGTTTTGATTTCTATCTCTTCCCTTTTTAATTGCAATTTTATTTCATGCTTTTAATTTTGTCCAGTTTAATTTTAAGATTTGTATCTTTCCATTTTTAGTAACTTACCATTTTAGATAACTGCTAATTTTAGTAACTTTTCATTTAGGGCTTTCTTTCCATAATTTGTAGTTAAATTAGGTTTAATTATTGGTAATTTTGTTAGATAAATTAGATCAACTAAAATTTTTTTATAGGATTAGATATACCTAAAACATCAAAGTTGGTACCTACCTCTAGGTTTAGAACTCCCAATCTCTATTTTAGTCTGAGTTAGGAATTTAAGTACATTAATTTTTAAATTAAAAATGCTAACTTTCTTCTTTTATGTTTTATTAGGTTAATTTTCAATTTTAATTTGTTGCTTCTAGGTTTTGATTTCTATCTCTTCCCTTTTTAACTGCAATTTTATTTCATGTTTTTAATTTTGCCAAGTTTAATTTTAGGATTTGTATTTTTCCATTTTTAGTAACCTACCATTTTAGATAACTGCTAATTTTAGTAACTTTCCATTTAGGGCTTCCTTTCCATAATTTGTAGTTAATTTAGGTTTAATTATTTGGTAATTTTGTTAGATAAATTAGATCAATTGAAAATTTTTTATAGGATTAGATATACCTAAAATGTCAAAGTTGGTACTTACCTCTAGGTTTAGAACTCCCAATCTCTAGTGAGTTGATATTCAAAATATTTTTTATATTTATTACTTTTACAATTTGTACACTTACGATATTGCTAAAGGGTTCAACAAGATCCCTATTATAGTTTTTTATCAGAAGTAAATGTCTGTCAAAGGACTATGAGGAGCCATCCTAGCCCATTCTTTATCTCTTCTTGAAGCAAACTTAAATAAAAAGAGATTAGTATCTAAACATAATACTTGCATTTCCTTGGATAGTTTCCAAATCACTCAAAACGTTTCAACCATTACATCCATATTAAATGGTTGATTGGTTCTTTTTTCATCTCATCTACTAGTCTCTTCACACCCTCTAGTTTGGTACTATCCTTTTCCTCTTCTGTGAGAGTGAGATACCTCTAAATTCTTTCTTATTCCTCCATCATATAGATGTACTTGAAAAACATAGCAATAACTTGACCCACTACAAGGGATTAGGTTTTTAATGACCTTTTTTTTTTTTTAATTTAGTGGCGTTTATAAATGCCACTAAAAAATTAGCGACATTTGCCAAAAATGCCGTTAAAAGTGTCACTTATACTTGCGTCAAAAAAATAGTGGCGTTTATAGTAGAAAACGTCACTAAATTTAGTGACATTTATAGTTAGATAGCATCGCTACATTTTAGCATTTAGCAATGTTTTTAGTCATAAACGTGCTAAATTAAAAAATTTATTGATTTTTTAAATTTTCTTTTAATATTGATTATTATCATTAAAAAAATTAAAAGAAATAAAAATGAATTTAAATTCATAAACTGAATATTATAAATACATAATTTGTTCCAATATGGATGGAACACAAAGTTTAAAACATGCAATAACATTCAAATTATTTTAGTACATTAACCAAAAATCTAAAATGTATGGAATTGATGAATGTATGGAATTGATGAATGCATAGATTTGGAACACTACCTTTTGATGAAATATTTTTCCACCTTGGTCACTAATGTGCTCAAGAAACTATTGACTTAATCTTGACTTTTGTATCAAACTTTTATCATTTAATACTTGCTATATTATAAAACCAAAATTATATAATTAAATTAGATGAAAATGAACTATAACATACTTAATTGTACTAACTATTAAACCAAAAATAATAACAAAACGATATCAGAGATAACCTATTACAATGTAAAAAAAAAAGAAAAGAACCTATTACATGTCATGCATTGATATCGTGTTTTTTAAACAATGCAAAAAAAGAACAAAGATAACATCAACAAAAAATTTATACAAATTTTACACATCTAGAAACCTATAATGTAACAGAGGAAGATTAAGTATGTGACAAATACTTTGCCTTGCAATATTCACAATTGACTATAGATGTTTTTTTTTTTTGGTTATTTATCTTCTATTGTTGATGGTTTTCATGCAAAACAAATCCTTTCAAGTAAGATTAAATCATTTCATCAGATACTATAATCTAAAAAAACAAATAAAACAAATGCCAAGATAAGATGAGAAAACATAATAGACTATTTCAAAATAGTTTTCTAAGGACATCTTGAATGAATCAACAAATTCATGTTAACAAGTAACAATTTTTTAGTAATTTCAAAAATATTCTGTTGAAAAAAAAAACTAAACCTAAAATTTCATTCGTGTTTATAACTAAATTCAATGTTTAATTTTAAGTTTTTCAGAGAAAACCCCTATTTTTTTCACTTTCTGTTCTAGCTTGAATTTTTCTCGCCAACTAAACAAAACCAAACTCAGAACTGCAATAACGAAATAAATTGGTAAAAAAAGAAAAAGAATGGCCAAACATTGAAAATTGCGAATGTTAAAATAGAGCTTGAATGGCAGTAAAAATACAACAAATCAGACAAAAAATTTAGAGATTTGACCTAACAAATCAGACAGAAAGTTTAGAGATTTTACTCAAAATGCAAGAAAATTAACTTGAAATTTGCCAAAACAAAAGGAAAGAAGATGAAAATTGATCACAAATTGACTGAAACTTAAACAAAAAATGAGAAGAAAGTGACCCAAAATGAGCAAAAATGATAAAAATGAGTAGGGAAAAGAAAAGTAGAAAGAAGGTTTCCCAAGTTTGAAATTTAAAGAGAATTTAACAACAGGAAAGTGTGATTATTGAAGGCGTTTTAGCCAAAAATACCTTTAATAATCCCCTTCAATTTTTTTGGGGATTATTCAAGGTGTTTTTGGCCAAAAAAGCACATAGAATAATCCTTTACAAAAAGTTAAATGGGGTTATTTAAGGCGTTTTTCTTGAAAAATGCCTTCAATAATGCCCTTCAATTTTTTTTTAGATTATTTAAGGCGTTTCTGGTCAAAAACGCCTTAAATAATCTCCTTCCATTTTTTTAAAATTATTCAATGCATTTTTTGCCAAAAAATATCTTGAATAATCCCTTACAAAAAATTGAATGGAGTTATTTAAGGTATTTTTAGTAAAAAATGTCTTAAATAATCCCCTTCAATTAAAAATTAGAAAGGATTATTCGAGGTATTTTTTGTTAGAAAACGTGATTAATCTCATTCCATTTTTTGGAGATTATTCAATGCGTGTTCTACAAAAAAAAGCCTTCAATAATCTCCTTCCATTTTTTTTAGATTATTCAAGGCACTTTTGGCTAGAAAACGCTTTGAATAATCCCTTACAAAAATTGAATAGAATTATTTAAGATATTTTTAATAAAAAACGTCTTAAATAATCCCTTTCAATTAAAAGTCAAAATATATAATGGTGTTTAGGTCAACAAATTCTATAAAAATATATTTTTAGTGGCATTTTTAAATTCAAATGCCGTTATATAAGAATTTAGTGACATTTTATAAAAAAAGTCCCTAATTTTATAAAAACACAAAACTTTGTGATATTTATTTAAAAATATCGTTAAAAAATAGTCACAAATCTCTATTTCATGTAAGGACCCCATGAAAACTATACTAAAAAAACTTAAAGAAAACTCACAACAACTGAGACAGAAACCCTTTGTAACTAGACGAAACTCATAAACTCCTCCCATAAAATCCTAGCTTTGAAGATACTTATATTGTATCTAGTGTCGGTTAACCTTGATCTAAGAATTTAGTTTAGCTCCCGCTTGTAGATTTGAACAGCCCTAAACTTGTATGTGATATTATTGATACTAACTTGGTGTTCTATACATATTCCACATATTTTCTCCGGTAATTGAGAATAGATTTACATAAAATTCGTTTGTTTTCTGCTTTTATCATACCAAGCAATCAAAGCTCAAGTGTAATATACATAGTACAATATTATTAACAAAATGGTAAATGAAATTCAATTTTTAGGCTACATAAATCGAATCAGTTGAGTGACACATATAGTTAAAGATATATTTAAAATAGGAAATTAATTAAAATATATATATAATTTTTAATCTCATTTATAAAATTTAAAAATTATATTAATAATATATTAAATATTAATTTTATATAGCAAAATATATAAATAGGTAGTTATTTTATTAATAACTAAAGGTACTACAGTACATTACGTGCCCCACACAATTAATGTAGCTACAGATCCTCCGTACATATACCATATTATCTAAGGGAAGAGGTGGGGACATGAAAATAGTAGCAGTAGGTTTGCTGGTTGTTCATAAATATATAAATATTAATTTCGTCCACCGTCCATTTTAACTGTAGATGGGTGGTGTCATTAATGTTGAAAGTCATTCTCGCCTTCGGCCACCGGACCCACTCTCCCTCTGGCAGTTGAAATAAACAGCAGCCACCGGCAATCCAAGATTGTAAAGCTCAGCAAAGTCTCTGGTGTTGAAATTCTGACGCCACCCCGGTGCGAAAACTGTCTGCCTACCCAGTTGCCGAAACAACACGAAAACGAAGCGGTGAATTCCAACCGATGGTCGTGGGCTCTCATAACAAACAATTTCTTGCCCTACGTACCCAACATGATCACGTTAAATCACCCATTCTCAACAATAAAACAGCATGATTTGCATTCTTAAATGTCTTTCAATTTCTTAGCATCTCAACAAATCTCAATCTCGTCATAATTACAAAAAAAAAAAAAATGAAAGGGGGCGAAGATAACACCACAAGTTTCACTAAATGTACAGCCTAGTATGTGTAGTAATTAATGGGACGTCATTTCAAATCAGTATATATAGTTAGGAAATTCGTAAAGCCTTTTCCATCCCATCATTGCTTTTGAACATGTAATGTTTACCCAAAATTAGCACAGACGTGTACGTGTAATCGCACAAATGGCGTTTCAGGAAGAAGTGGGCCACGAGAGAGACAAAATTTTGGGCGAAGAGAGTTTTTGTCCGCCTCTAGGAAAAGGTACTCAATCCTTGTCGACAATAACTGATTTTGCACAACTGTCTCCATCGATTTCACTTGACACAGCTCTATTACTACACTTAAGAGAAGGCAACGCAAAGGAAGAGAAACATTACGTGGCTTGATGGGATAATATGATGTGCTTTCACTGTATACTTTTAGATTTTAATAATTCAAAACTCAGACCTCTCAAGTATATTCACGAAGGCCCTGAGCCCTGACTTGCCATGGTCCGATGAATCTTAAAGCAAAACAAAAAGATATGGCAGAATAATAAAATCTGCGAAGAAAGTACTCACCAAAGCTTGTCCCCGTAGTTGCTGGAATATCAGTTACCAACCTGAAAAGTATGATTTTTGATGATAAGGTTAGTAGTAACACCGATGGATTAAACTGCAACTTGGTTGACAGAATAAAGGACCTTTTTCCTTAAAGTATCTGAAGAAACACCACTGGATGACTAATCACTTCACGTCACACTGGAAAGTGTGAGCGGAATGCGGTGACTCGGTCACTCCTCGTACAAACAACCAAGCATATGATACGAGGAGAATCATTTCTCTTTTCTACCATTATTTCACACGCATGATGATTTAAAAAAAAAAAAATTTTTCAGTTAGTGCGCCAATTGCTACTTCAACACTTTTTTTATTCTCTTTCAAACCCTATTATCAATTGGGCATGCAATTAGTATATACGTTCAAAATTAGATTAATGCAATATATAGCCCCAAATCCTTCCCTTTTACCACCTTCTTTCTCTCGACGTAGTCCTTCAAAATTTGCAACAATAAAATAAAATTTCAATTATGATTTTGTAATTGACAGATGAGGGTAAGAAAATACATGGAATGTGTAATTTTTTACTAGTAGGTTAGAAAATACTTGAAAAGGCTACAAAGATAAAGTGAACTTTGTAATTCCTAATTAACGTAATCCAATTTTTAGGTAGGAAATGAAAATAAAATATCATGAAAAAAGATAAAAAGATAATGATGAAATTCGCTTATTATTTCTATGATGAGTAAATCATTCCAAGACCAAGAAGGAAGAAAAAGACAACAAAGAAAGGCCCATTGAAAAGTTTGATGGTGTCCTATGTTGTACATGCAAGGAACCGAAAAAAACATAGAATATCCAAGATATTTTCTTTATGGTCCTGCATATTTTTTTTGCAAGGGAAGGTCGTAAACTTAATCATTAATCCAAACAGAAGAACATCATAAGGCATATCAAATGAGAAGAAGGAAAGAGAGATAGAAAGAGAGATTACTGTTTGTCCTTCTTCATGAAGTAGAACAGCTTCGGCTTCGTTGTTGCTAATTTCACTGATTTATTTAGTTAATTATGAGCAAAATCTCTCCCCCAACTAGCTTGTTTCATTAGTATTTGCGTTTTAAAGTGATTGTACAAGCGTATGTGACTGTAAGTCCAATAATGCAAATGCAACCTCCTAAACTTTTCGCATAAATATACTATATATAGAGAGAGAGATTTCGTCACGCAAAAATTGCGTATCTCAGAGTTTTGGTTTGTATGTGAGGCAGATAGAGAACCTAAGCAAACAACCGAAGTGCAAACACTCAGCATTTGGAGTGATTCTGCTTGGCTGCTTGCTTCACTGTGCTGCTAGCTTCTCACCGCGTGCATGTTTGAGTATGCAACACAGAGAGAGAGAGAGACAACACACACACACACACACACAGAGGAAAAGAGATGGAGGGAGCTAAAGAGCATGCAACTCACCAATGCAAGTACTCCCTCAGGTTTGGGTCACTTGGGCTGGGTGCATCAGGATCCACCATAACCTGCACCAAATGTGAGGCTGATCATTAACAAACCAAAAACGTTACTCCATTATGTAAATATCTAAGAAGATATATATACATGCAGGGGGTAGAGGAATTGGACGATGTGTAACAAGACCAGCAAGAGGAAAAGGAAAACAGGCTTAACCTAAAAGTAAGACTCACCAGAGTGTAGAAGGTCCTGAGATCATCCCCACCAATTTCAACCCTTGGCTGGATGACAACTTGAGATGGTTTGAGCTCACAACCATTGTTAACCTCCCTAGTACCGAAGATCACCCTGAGAGAAATAGACCTTGTAAAAGAGTCCAAAACATCCCCTATAACTCTACCAACAACCAGGGGATCTCTGTCTCTAGGCATGCTATTGCTATTTGCTGATGAAAAAAAAAAAACGTATTACTAACACAACTAGAATTTGTCTTGTGCTGATATAAAAAATACAAGTGAGACATGAGGTATTTATATATGAACGTTAAGGTATTTACTTTTTATCTTCTGTACCATCAATAGAATCTTCCTTTTCCCATAGAGATTTTCGTATAGTATACATTTTTTTCCCTGAACTTCTAAACGAAATGACGATACCTGGAACTGTAAAGTAAATTAGTGGACCTGTCCAATATTTACTATTCTGATTGAGCAATTTATTCAGAAGTCGGTCAAGCATCCCATCATTGTACATTGTGTTCGCATCTGCTTTTTTTTTTTTTTTTTTCGATAAATTTATTCGACCCCCAACCCAAGATTGAAACGCTGATCTTCGCACTTTACACCTGCAGCCTCGACTTGAGTCCAAAAGCCTAATGACAAGTTTCAATCCGTTCTTTCTGTTGAAAGATATAAAGAGAAAACGCATCGACTTCATAAAGTGAGATACTATTTTGTGGTTTCGGTCTTGTCCGTCATCGTTATCAACCGACATTGAGGTGTGAATAAGATTCACGTGCTTAGCAGCGCATTATGTCTGCCAAATAGCGGAATTTTGAAAAATAGCTAACTTATCAGTGTGTTACAGCCGTTATTGTTTCTGTTTGCACTTAAAAAAAATTGCATTAAATCACAAAATAAATTTATCCCATAACAGAAAGAAACTGTATAATCTACAAAATTCAACAACTTAAGTCTAAATCAAAATTGCTGAACCAAAAAAAAAAAGTCTCAATCAAAATCGTATAATCTAGAATGCTTACCTTATTACTATTAGATTTCTAACAAAACTTTCTTTTGAAATATATTTCCTACCATATTACCAACCTCCTCTTATACGGCACTTTTAATTTATTATATTTCATACTAAATTGAGGTTCCAATGTAGGCATGTTCCCCTTTTTTCTCCAAACTTCAACTTCACATATGTAATAATAAATTAGATTGTTATTTGTGCAATGCACAAAATAATTTTATTTATTTTATGTGTATAATCATATAAATTAATATGTATTTTAAAATTATATTCAAAAATTTATAACATATAAAAGATTTTGTATCTAACTAACTTATTATAAAAAAAATAATTTTTTTTAAAAAAGTAAGAAGAAAATGACATGCTTTCATTTTACACTTTATTTGCAATAATATTTATACACTTAAAATTTATATCAAATAAAATAATTACATGTCTTTCTTAAAAGAAAAAAACAAATATATTATTTAATGATAAATTAAATAATAGGTTTTCTTTAAAAAAAAAAAGTCTCCTAAGAGCTGATCCTCTATAAGAAGTTAGTACATCCTATTTGGTAAGCAAGTGAGTTCGTCTCATGATTTATATAGTTAGATGGTCTTTGAGTTTTTATGGGTGGGAGTTGTGGCAGTAAGTTTTGTAAGGATTGATGATGAATTGGAGGGTTTATGGAAACATTTACAGTTGACTGAAGTAAAAAAATAGGGGATCGAATCAAATACCTTGGTGACAAACAATGACAGATAGAGCAAAAAAATCATGGTTGGTAGGGAAAGTGATAACAATAAGAGCTTTTAGCAAAAAGGCAATGAAGACCACATTGAAGATAATATGAAAGTTGGCCAAACAAGTGGAAATTGTGGACTTGGATGATAATTTTTTTTTGTTTAAATTTTTGACAGATTTAGAGATGCAAAGAGTGATCCATGGATACCATGGAGTTTTGACAAACAACTTATCATGTTTAATGAATTTATGGGAAGTTGAGATTAAAAGATTATATATTTTCAACTATTCTATTCTAGATAAGGGTGTATGGCTTGCTTTTAGGGATGATGAACCAGATGAATGTGACTAGGATAGAAAGAAAGATAGGTGGTCTCAAGTCAGTTGATGCAACACTAGAGCAAAGGAGATGGGCTCAGTTTCTACATGTTAGAAGTTCATATTACAAAACCTCTGCGTAAGGTGGTATTGCTTACTAATGGGGAGGAAAGAAAGGAAATAATGGGTAAACTATCCTATGAACGATTACCAAGCTTCTATTATGCTTGTGGGAGGCTAGGTCACATTGAGGTTGAATGTAAGAAAAAGAAAGGAGAAGGGGATCATGATACTTCAGTGAGGCAATACGGTGCATGTTTCCACACTTCACCATTAAAGATTAAAACCTTTAGCATGGGAAAAAGGGTAGGTTGTTAATAGGTTTCAAAAGAACAACAAAGAGAACAACCATGGCAACAAATCTCCTACAATGACAGTTGATGATGGAGTTGTATGAAAATTGGACTTGGCATTCAGTCAAGGAGTTTAAATAAGCTTGAATCACAAGATTTGCTTAATAATAAGGGAGTTGTTTTAAGGGATAATGATAGGAGTTTATAGGATATGAAATCCCATAACTGGAGTTCAAAAAGGTATGGACCAAGTTTAAATAAGTTAACCAAGAGTTTGAAAATATAATCAGGCCAATGAATAAAGACCTACAAAACAAAATGGATAATAACAAGACCTCTAAACATGGGAATAATGGCCTAAATGTGGATAACCAGACTAATGATGAGGTCCTATTTAGGAGAATATACAATGCACTGATAGAGTAACTCTAAATAGATGAAAAAAGTACTATTGCATAAAAAAAATAAGGATACATAAAGCATGCATGAAACAATAGGGAAAGTACATAACAATGGGGACCAGAAACAGGAATAAAGGGTCTAAATAGACATGAAAGAGGTTGGTAAGACAAGCAAGGGATACACAAATAAGTGGATAAATTAAGAAAGGGAAAAAGAAAGTGTAGGGACTGTGTACCAAAAGATATGGACATCGATGTGATAATGAAAAAGAACAAATGTAAGGATGAAAAGGTCAAAAAAAACTATCATGATGAAATAGTGGTGACTAGTTTCTAGTCCTATCAAATACAATGAGGCATCTAGCTTAGAACTACCATGGCTTGGGAACCTATGTGTAGTTTGTGATCCTTAGAATATTTTGAAAAAATAAGATCTAGATATGATTTTCCTATCAGAAACCATGTCTAAAAAAGAAAGATTGATAGGGCACGATGAGCATGCCAAATAGTGGAAAGTTTATGGTAGATGCAGTGGGGAAGAGTGGGGGTTTAATTATGCTATGGCAAGAGGAATTAATATGTCACTAAGAAGTTATTTTAAATATCACATTGATATAGGGGTGGTAGATGTCGATGGCAATAAATGGAGGATTACAGGGTTTTATGAAGACACAAGCTAGGCATAATGCATGGGATATGCTTAAAAGATTAGGCCATCATAATTCTTACATGTTGCTTTGCATGAGGGATTTTAACAAGATTTTATGAGACAACTAGAAAGTTAAAAGAGGAATAAGATCGATAGCACAAATTGAGGTGTTTTGAAAAGTATTGAAACATGTCGAGCTCCGTGACGAGTTACATAAGATATGATTTTACATGGTGTAAAGGCAGAACAATGGAGAAAAAGATCTAAGAAATGTTGAATCGTGCCGTTGGGAATAAGGATTGGATGGATAATTTCCCTGATTTCATGGTATGACATCTAACCTACTATACTTTGAACCATTGTCCAATTTTAATTGACATAATATGGGCTAACCAAAATAGATTAAACTAGCTATCGAGAAGAAGAAAATACTTTGAAACCAAGTGGCTTACCAAAGTAGATTGCATGGATATCATGGATAAAGAGTGAACTGATAAAGATTACATAGATTTCAGAAGTAAGTTGAGTGGGACTCGAGCCAAGCTTCATGGTTGGTATGCAAACAAATTCCAAGTTTTAAAGAAACGTATACATGAAAAACTGAAGGTGGTGCAACAAAGGGCTATTAATGATGCTGATTTGAGCAAAGAGAATGAGCTTAAAGTGTGCTTTAACGATTTACTTGAATAAGAAGAATTATTTTGGAAACAAAGATCCCAAGTTAATTGGTTGAAGGATGAGGATAAAATACATGATTCTTCCATGCATAGGCATCTCAATGTAGAAGAGTGAATAGATTGACTGTAGTAGAAAATGATAATGGGATTTGGCATGAAAGAGAACATAAAGTGGCTGACAAGCAGTGAGATATTTTTAAAATATTTTTAAATCTTAAGAACCACTAGATCTAGCTTATATCCTGAAATGGATTACTCGTTGTGTCACAAATGAGATGAACGAGTCTCTCCTATCAAAGTTCATAGCTAAAGAGATTCAAGAATCAGTCAAACAGATTCATCCTACCAAAGCTCTAGGACCTAACGGTATGCATGCACTATTTTACCATAAATTTTTACATATTCTAGGACCTAAAGTTATTAATTTCTATTTAGATTTTTTGAATGAAATTGGTAGCTTGGATAGTATTAATGAAACCCATACTGTCCTTATCCTTAAAACTAGTAATCTTAAAAAAATGACCCAGTATAGACTAATCAGCCCGTGCAATGTGCTTTACAAAATTATTGTTAAAACTTTAGCTAATAGATTAAAATTGGTGTTACCAACTTGTATTAGTGAAAACCAAAGCACTTGTGTCCCAAGTGGGCTTATATCTGATGATGTCCTTATATTCTATGAGTTGCTACATACTATGAAATAGAAAAAGAGAGGAAAAAATAGTTGTGTCACACTTAAATTGGATGAGTAAAGCTTATGACTGAGTGGAATGGTAATGTCTTGATGCTATTATGGGTAAACTAGGATATAGTAATAGATGGAGATCTTTGATTATAAGTTGTATTTTTTTTTATCTCTTATAAAGTAGTTATAAATGGTTTTATGACTGACAATTTATCTCTTGAAAGGGTTATCTAACAAGAGGATCCCCTTTCACCTTATTTGTTCTTGATATGTATAGAGGGATTGTTGGCACTTTTATCCAGTCCCTAGAAGGAGGGCCTACTATAAGGAATTTGAGGTAGTGTCTAAGGCCTAAAAATCACTCATCT